ATATTTGAATCTTATTTTAAACACACACCTGCACCTATCTATATATACATACCTCCATCTATATTACAAACATATACCTACTCATTTACATATCTATAATAAAAAAATGTATCTACATATACACACATACATACATGTCTACATACACACGCATACATACATGTCTACATACACACGCATACATACATATCTCCACATGCACCCATACATATATATATATATATATATATATATATATACATATAAATATATCAAATGCATTTCGATTTTCTGCATCAATACATATACGTATGCACGCATGAAAGGCAGATACATACACATATATACATATATATCCATACACATCTATACTTAAATACGCATAAAACATTCAATATATATATATATATATATATATATATATATATATATATATATATATATATATCATTCACAGACAGATTTTTTTCGCTGTATAACAGCTCATCAGTGTGACGCATCTAGCTAAGATCGAAACCCGACTGAGAGAACTCGATTCGATTTAGCGAAGAGTCTTGCATTATGAGTCGTACTATTCACTGTTTACAAACTCACACTTCCTCCCCATAGCGCAACCGAAATAAATTTTCCAGAAGCATACACACACATTTTTATAGATTTCATGAAATAAAGATTATTGCCTATGATATTTTAAGTGTTTGATATTCATTAATTAATAAAGTAGATATGTGTATCTGGGCATATATATATATATATATATATATATATATATATATATATATATATATATATATATATATATATATATGAAGAAATATACTCTTAAAGTGTGCAATATCAGAGGTAGAGCGTGTGTAATTATAAAAGTGAACAATGAAGTCAACACTTAGAAGCGACAGGCTGTTTCAGGCCACAAGATTTCGTTTTCTTTCTCGGCTATTTATATAAACGTGTCAGTGGTGCATTGTGGGTAATCTATTTTGGCGGATGTCGTTTATTTGTTTATTTATTTATTTAGGTTAGATTTTTTTGCTTGTTTTTTATTTATTTTTTTTTATTTCTTATGTTATATAATTATTTCTTTATTTTTATTTTAATCGGTGTTTTATTAATGTAGTAAAAATTTGCGCCTAGCATGAAACAGCCTGTCGCCTCTAAGTGTTGACTTCAATATTCACTTTTATATTTATACATACATACATACATACATACATACACACACACACACACACGCGTATATATATATATATATATATATATATATATATTCTAAATATATATATATATATTTGCATAAAAAATTTGCATGAAAGGACAATATAAGTATAGTGACGTTTACCAACGTAATGGCTGTAAGAGAAAAAAGAAGAATGAAAATCCATGCTAATGCCTCGTTCTCTGACTAACGTTTCCTTCTTTTCATCATAAATATTTTGAAAAAAAAAATTCTACACAACAGAAGACATAAATTCCGTGTGTCCCAAACTTTCATACACAGATTTTTGTTTCTTTTATCTATTTACCTACTACCCATCCCCGCATTTACAGACGAATGGACACGTCTGCTGAGAAAACTAGTGACTTACGTATTCATGCTTGACTGCAATTTAATTTAGATTACGTGTACTTCCTTTGTTGTACGGGAAAAAAAAAGATTTTTTCGACTGTTTCTTCTTACTGTAAGTTTATTTTTATGCACAGGAAAAATGTTTTCGACGTTCACGAGTGTTTCCATATTCAACACCTTTATATTTTTCATACACACACACACACACACACACACACACACATATATATAGGGACTTTTTTATGTTTATACGTTATTTTTATAGATAAAATATTAAAGTAAATTCTCTGTTTATAATAAACAGTATTAACAACATTTACCGGCCTTAATGTCCGAGAAATTTTCATAGAAAATATGCGTCTTTCGACAGGAATCGAACATGTATCGGTAATAATAAAGCATTTCGGTTAGCAAGGTCGATTTAACAGTTTTTAAACTACAATGTAAATCGACCTTGCTAACCGAAACACTCCTCTGTTAAAGCACGTCAGGCTAAATGACGGTTCCGTATAGGATACAGGTTCGATTCCTGTCGGAGGACGCATATTTTCTATGAAAATTTCTCAGACATTCTAGCCGGTAAATGTCGTTAATACTGTTTATTATAAACAGAGCATTTACTTAAATATTTGTATCTATAAAAAGGACGTGTAAACATAAAAAAATGTCTCAAAATAATTGTCGGACTTTGTCCATTTCATTATATATATATATATATATATATATATATATATATATATATATATATATATATATATATATTGGATTTTAAAATTAAATACACATAAATTAGGGTTGAATAGGGACTTAGGTGTTTTAAATCTTTATAAATATTTCAATAGCTAAGCAATTTCTTTAGATATAGTAAAAAAATATTTTTAAAATATTTATGACAGATTTAAGTTAGGAATATCTGAACAGTGACGTTCCATATCACGTGACGTCCGCGTCTCTCGAAAGGACGCTACTTGCCAACAAACAGTAATTTTAATTTATTTGTAACAAACAGTTATTTCTGATGAAAAATTGAGGACAATTTGAAATATCAAATATATATATAAATAAATAAATACTTTCATAAAATAAAACATTATAATTTTTAATTTGAAACTTTTCTATATATACATATTAAAAAAGTATACGTGGCTTCTCATTATTATATATATATATATATATATATATATATAAATTAGAAAATGGATTAATCAGCCAACTATTGAATATAGAGGAAAAGAGAAACCCGGATATAAGAGAGAGATTTTCTCTGGTCCCAAATTAGAGCCTGTGTTAATGTATATAAAATAGACCAAACCCGGATATAAGAGAAACCCGGATATAAAGAGATTTTCTCTGGTCCCAAATTAGAGCCTGTGTTAATGTATATAAAATAGACCAAACCCGGATATAAGAGAAATTTTATAAGAGATTTTCTCTGGTCCCAAATTAGAGCCTGTGTTAATGTATATAAAATAGACCAAACCCGGATATAAGAGAAACCCGGATATAAGAGAGATTTTCTCTGTCCCAAATTAGAGCCTGTGTTAATGTATATAAAATAGACCAAACCCGGATATAAGAGAAACCCGGATATAAGAGATTTTCTGGTCCCCAAATTAGAGCCTGTGTTAATGTATATAAAATAGACCAAACCCGGATATAAGAGAAACCGGATATAAGAGAGATTTTCTCTGGTCCCAAATTAGAGCCTGTGTATGTATATAAAATAGACCAAACCCGGATATAAGAGAAACCCGGATATAAGAGACTTCTTCTCCGGTCCCGACAACTCTCTTACATCCGGGTTACACTGTATTTTCTGTTTATAAGTTATTCTTAATCGATACAATTGAATTTCAAACTGAACCGTTTATTTCGTCCACCAGGGTATATCGTTCCAAATAAAGGGTTCGGTTAGAAATTCTAATTACCTGAAGAAAGCCGGTGCGTAAAACGCCTGAAACGTCGTGTATATCGCAATAAAGATGAGGGCAACAGTCCGAACAATGGAAATAATATAAATAATTACAATACCTCATCTCAGATATATAGACAGACTCTGAAGAAGGTCGGGGCTTTCAACGGTCGAAACGTCGGGAATATGGCAATAAAACTGGGGGCAACAGTCCGAACAATGTAAATAATATAAATAATTGCAATGCTTCATCTCAGATATATAGGCAGATTCTGAAGAAGTCCGGAGCGTACAACGGCCGAAACGTCGTGAATATGGCAATAAAGATGAGGGCAACTATCGAAACAATGTAAATAATGTAAATAATTACAATACCTCATCTCAGATATATAGGAAGATTCTGAAGAAGTCCGGGGAGTACAACGGCGGAAATGTCGTGAATATGGCAATAAAGATGAGGGCAACAGTCCGAACAAGGTAAATAATATAAATAATTACAATACCTCATCTCAGAAATATTGAGAGATACAGTCTTCGTAACTTTAGAGGAGAATGTCTGAACATTAATACACCATATTGATCCTTCTAATTAGTTACCAAGTTAAAGCAAGGCCGCGCAACTGGTTCTCCACATATTAATATTTCTGAGTCCTTTTTCTTCCATTTTCATTTCAGTTCTTTTTTGGTCGTTCATCTAATCTTCCTTTTATATCTATATTTTTTTTTCATTGATTTCCTTTTTTCCTTCATCTACTCTTTCTTTCATACTTTAAATTTTTCATTCATTTCCTTTTCTAGTTTCCGGTGCGATGTCTCTTCCGGATGTCTCAGTAATCTCCCTTTATCGTAACGCTGTGTATACGACAATAAAGATGAGGAAAACAGTTCGAACAATGTAAATAATGTAAATAATTACAATAGCTCATCTCAGAGATATAGACAAAAATGTATGTGTAAATTTTGTTCTTGTCTTCTGAACATTATCGAATATCGCTTTTACATTATGCAAGTTTGGCCACTTCTGATATATGCAATAATGTTTGATTTAATTTACCTGACGAAGTCTATTTGGTTATTTTTAATTTTTATTATTTTATTTTATTTCATTTTATTTTTTTTATTTTAGCATCTTTTCGAATAAGATGTCGTATATCAGGATTGGAATGGTGGATAAAATGGACAAAATTTAAGCTCGCTCATTTGTGCTTCCGACTGTCTAAGTCGTTTTCTAGAACCAAGAAATATGGATAAAGATATAAAAAACAACCATTATTTGGAAGAACATCATTTTGAAGAAGAACATTTTGAAGAAGAATGTAAAAGAAATATAGATAGATTTTGAAGGTGAATATGGTAATAAAGATGAGGACAACAGTCCGAACAATGTAAATAATTACAATACCTCATCTCAGAAATAGAGACAGATTCTAAAGAAGGCCTGAGCGAATAAGATGTCTTATATCAGGATTGGAATGGTGGATAAAATGGCCAAAATTTATGCTCGTTCATTTGTGCTTCCGACCTTCTAAAGTCGTTTTCTACAACCAAGAAATATGGAAAATGATACAAGAAAAAAGAAAGACCATTTTTGGCTACTAAGAATCTTGTAAGTGAAATTCGTAAAAAGAAGAAGAAAAAAGCAGTCACTCCAAGAGTGACGGTCATGACAACCCCAACAGAAACCTGGAGGCACCTGATGTAATCTGAAAGCATTTTTAGCCTTCTTCGGTCTCTAGGCCTTTTTCCGGCAAGCCAACTGACGGTAGGGATTATCCAGATGTTACTGACTGTTTCCTTGTCTTAAGCTTGCTTAATCACAACGGATTAACTTCGAAAATTAATAGAACCGTTTTGTAAAATTCCAGGGGATTAAAGCTAAAAATGAAACATATGCTAATCTATCTAATTTTTAAATGGATGTTTTAAATCTGTCCCTTTCTCTGAGATGAGGTATTATGATTACTTACATTATTTACATAATTTGGACTGTTCATTGCCATACTCACGTTTCTGCTGTTGTACGCTCCGGCATTCTTCAGGTGATTGAAATTTCGAACCGAACTGTAGAGCTACATTTCTGATGTTTCAAGTCACTTCTTCATTTAGTTTCGAAATTCCAATCACCTGATGAAGGCCAGAAAGTACAACGGCCGAAACGTTGTGAATATGAGAATGAAGACGAAGATAATAGTCCGAATAATGTAAATGATGTAAGTAATATTTTAATTCCATTATATTTTTTTCTTATTATGGGTACTCCTAAGAAAATAAAAAAATTAGAAAAACAAATAAAAACGGGGATAGCATTTCAAACACGTGTGACCACTAGAATAACGTTTACAATAATAAAGTCGTTGTTTTAAAGGCCATTTCCGACTCAGGTGTTGCGACGCAGCTCAGACCAGACAGCAGCTTCGTTAAGAGGGTTCAGTTTCATGAAATCAAACACTTGTGGTTTAAAATTACCCTTCGGCCAGTTTGTTACCAACGAGTAAAAAACAAAACAATTTCTAGTAGTAAACCAGATTTTATTCTTAGGTAGTACTTTAAGACTATGAGCGAGCGAAGGCGGTTTGAAGCATAAAGGATGGGGGGAGGGGATGCTCTTTGCAGCGTCTATTGTCTGTCTCTATGCGTGGCCCGCTTCGTACCTTCTGTTTTCCTTTGTCTGGGATAGACAGATTTATGTATAACAGTTTTCTCTGTCCTGTCATCTTCGTCAAAAAAAAAATTTAAAAAAATTAATCTTCCTTCTGTCACTTTCCTTCAGTCTTGCTCTTGGACTTTGAAACTGACTTCAGATACGTATCGAGTTGTCTTAGAATTAACATATATTGCTACACAGAGTACAGGCATCCATATCTTTCCAATGATACCTCTGTTTAAATCTGCGGTAAATACTATTACTATATTAAAAATATTCTGTTGTCATTTGCAATTGTCTTCTCCAGTTTTGTATACATTAGACCTTTTACCAGACTGGATACCGCCTACAGTCAGAAATCCAGTCTAACCCGCTATTTAACCTCTTATCCTCGTAATTTAACCAAGGGCTCGCGGGACGAAAAGACAAGTTCTTGCCTTTCATAAGGGCGCCTTATACGTTGTTTTCGATCCTTAGATCAAGATCAACCTATCGGACTGTATTCTTTTTTCTTAGTATTATTTCCATGGAAAGTGTTCATATAAATTTCTTTCCCAATTCTGGTGTCATCTTAAGAGGTAGACGATTATGGCTCTCCACAATTTTCTGTCCTTTTTTAGCTCTTAATAAATTTGTTTTTTTTTTTATATTTCTCCCAAACCTGTTCCGCCATCGATATGCTCGTGCTCAAATATTTTATCCGTTGTTTTCCTCTGTCCCTTTTGCCTCCAATATGTCCTGTGAGTATCAGAATTTCCAAGCTCTTGTGACACTATTTAGCGGTTGCGTGAAAATTAAAAGGGAGAAATACTTAAGGCATGAAGAAGCTATCACGAAAGACATACTGAGCGGTGTTATTTTTTTTAACAAAGAAAAGTGGTAAAGATTTTATTTTCATTTGCGAAAAAAAGGTATTTTTTTTTCGCGAAAGATAGGAAATTCGTAAGATCTCGGATCTGTCGGAATTAATTTATGCTATGACGCGGCGAATAAAAGATAGCAATCTGCCCATGGCGATAATGAAAATTCCAAATTGGTCAAGTGGCCTACAAAACGAAATGCTGGAAGATAATCGTAATCAGGTCAAGGATCGACCGAGAAAAAAGATCAGTTTAGACCACCCCCAAAGAAAATAAAAAGAGAAAAAGGGAAAGAATAAACCATTAACTATCTTTCGGACATATCATTTGGTTTTGGGAAAAGACATCTGTTTTATGCCCAGACCTGGAGATGATAAAAGTTTGTTACCGGGATAGATAATTGGCGACAGGGTGCGAAGACGTTCGGTTGACCACCCATTTAACGCTTGGCGAAAATCTCGTTTACGAATTCCAGATGACATTCAGTTAAGATAGAGATTAAGGACCACACTACGAGTCCTGGGAGGCTCTGGTCGAGGAAAAGAAAGAAAAGAAAAATAATTATAAACTGAGGCCAGTCCAGCCATACCAACGCTGCCGAGCGTTCATTGGCTGAATGGTTGCGTGAGCGGTGGGCGAAGGTAAACATATGAGAAGGAGGGGAGGCCTGTTGACTCCTCTGAGGGGATTGGTGTGAGATACCAATATGAGAAAGAAGGGAACTCTGTTGGCGCCCTCTGAGGGTATTTGTGTGAGATACCAATATGAGAAAGGAAGAATTTGGGAGGACGATACCCTTAAGAACCTCTCTGAAGCAAAAAAAAAAAAAAGCAATGGACTTCCAAAAATGGAAAGTGATAAATTTTCCTGTCCGAAAACAAAGAAAATCCTTATTGTGGATTTAGAATCATCGAGGAACCCAAACCACGACAGGCCCACATCCGGTTTTGATCGGCGTCCATATAAACGAAGTAGACAGTGAGAGTTCGGAAGAGTTCCGAGAAGACAGCAGACGCGGACAGACGCAGACAGAGTTGAGCTGTGAGCTCGCAGAACAGCCTCGCAGGAGCGGCCTGACTTAGACTTCTAACCAAAAACAATTTATTTTTGAAGAACGAATATCGCATGAAGATACCAAAAACCAGTTTCTTGAAAAAAAAAAAAAAACTTAAGATGTTAAGACTCGCCTAACAAACGCAAAGTGTCACGAATCCATATTAGCGGTTTGGGAGAAAGAATCAGTCCTGTATTCAGCAACCAGATATAAGAATATTTGTTATTCTTTTTTTAACATATTTGAACTTTTCGAGTTGTTACTTTATTTTCTTTTACATATACTTGTGCAATGTTACCTTTGCTCGAATTCGGCTTGCATTACGGCCCGGCAACTGATTGATTTCGTCTACCTAAGATCAAATCACAACGTGGGTAGGTTAGACTAGAAATCAAAGCAGTTACTTCGGTAAGCAGACGTTGGAGGCGATCTGGGAACGACAAAGCTGATACCGAATCTAACCAGATTCCCATCCGAATCAGCCAAGTGTTATAACGTCACATTTGGCGCCGCGACCAATACCAAGTCACATTGGTCGTCACAGGATAGCACGGGGACAGAAAGGCCGGGGTGACGTCACACTCTCTTTCCTCGTCACGCGCCCTATAAATTTCACCTATCTCTTTCTGATATAAGTTTCGTTTTTCTTTCGATTTTCTCTAAAACTTCCATGTGACTCGGATATTCTGTCCATGGTGTTCACAGCATCCTTCTGCAGAACCACATTTCTGTTCCTTCATGTCATTTCTTTATCCAGGATGACAGATATGACGCAACTGTTCAGTATTGTTTTGTTTGTTTATAAATAAGTTTTCCTGTTTCTTAGTACTTTGTTTAGATTTTGTAAGTCATTTTTGTTTATCGTAATTCGCCTTCGGATCTCGGCGTTGCACTTTCCGTTATCTGTTAAAACACTACCCAAAGATTTAAATGTTTTTTGACTTCGTTCCTCCGTTCTAACCTTTAGGGCTAAGACCCACAATATCACGCACATTGTGGTGAATCAACTTCCTTCCATTCGTATTCCATTGGTGAGATGTAAGCTCCACTTGTATAAGATGAACATCATTTTAAAATAAAAAAAAAAAAAAGCTTATTCTTTTTTTTTATTATTTTATAATATATATATATATATATATATATATATATATATATATATATATATATATATATAATATCAGACACTTTCAGGTGGTAGACGATCATAGCACTACATCGATTTCATTTTTTATCATTTCTGAAAGGTCAAACATTACAGGAAGTATTTTTCTTCTATATTTTTGTGAATGCCAAATTTTCCTTCTTTAGACTGGCTAACATTTGAGGTCCTATAGCCCAATCTGCTCTGATATTAACCCTCTTCCTCGAGTGGCTCTCTGGCTTTGTACAGGGTGAACGTCACTGTAAAAATGTATATTTCATCCATGAATAGAAAAGAAAAAAAAACGGATTATTGTCTTTCCTAAGTGTAATGGTGCTGTAACAACGCTATCTTTATTGAGTAACAGCCACTTTATGGGTCACCCAGCATTGATTTCTCTACTTGGTTGGCGCTGGTGTGTTGTCTCGATAAGGTTGATTCGGGTGTCACCGATATTGGGATTGCCGGCGGAGTCTAGTGTGAACAACTTTATGTTTTTATCACATAAAATATTGCGTAATTCCTGCCTGTAGTCCTGGCAAAATTTGGTGCTTTGCGCAAAAAGCAACTTCTGTATGAGGTTGGAATAAAAACTTCTTCAATAAAATACACGGCATTGTTGAAAACAATAACAGATTCGTAGTATACAAAGAAAGACTGGTTGAATAACATATCTGTTATCTACTGCAAAATAAGTTCTCTGCTACAGGGTGTTGATTTCGGGTATGTCATCTCTAAACTAATAACAAGGCCGCCAATTATCGGTAAATTCTTCTGACATGCGCGTGTCTTTGTTTTCGCCCCGGAAATTACGAGTATGCTCTTTAGCAACGACTGTCTTACGAGCAATCAGAGGCCATTCTCTGCCGTCTTATACGACTGTTTCTGTCTCATTCTGCCGTCCTGGGTATGACGATAAACTACATCCACATCCTGGGTAAGACAATACATCCAACAGAAGGATCATTGGTTATTTAATGCCAACAAGATTGGTATCAAAAATGTATTGCTGGT